CCTAAACTTAACAACTACCTTACTGACTATTAATAAGCAGCAAATAAGGAGTTTAAGCTATAGTTAATAGTTAGTTGATAGTGAGAATTGGTCCCCAAATTAAAGTGTGACTTTCCAAAGTACTGATTAAGCTGGAACTTACTCATAGTGAATGTGCTCTCTAAGATAATTTTTACCATTCCTTATCTAGTCATTACAACCCTAATCTCAGCCTTAGATGTCATGCCCACAGAACAGTGGCTGAATGCATAAGGCCCACAAAATGGGAAACGAGGAGTTTCGAAGTCGTCATCTGATTGGTTGAATTCTACAGGATGTCAGGGAGATGTGCGTGTCGTGACGCCAAACCCCCTCTTGGGGATTTTGATCAACAAAGCTGTGTGACGCCAAACCCCCTCATGGAACAAGAAAACCACAGTGTTTACAAATGAGACAATGATGGTTTATCGGAATCAAGTAAACACTGGATTTTTAAAAGTATGTTAGGTTCACAGCACAGACTCTTGACGACGACAATCTAGAACATGTTTATGTGAAACGACAGCATCCTAACTGCTTTTTGAACAAGCAATGGGCTGCTGCGACTTCAAAAGAACAGCATACTTGGTTTAGGAGAGATTGGATGCCCACCTTCTTGCAGGTGACCAGGTGCTTAGTGAGGCTGGAGCTCAGCAGGCAAGACAGCACTCTCTCTAAACCAGTCTTCAGCTCGTGGTCGAGCAGTTCCCTCCATCCTGCTCCATTAACGTCCTCTCCATCAGGCTGCTCTTGTAAGCACGGCTGACAGGAGTACACCACACTCTCAGGCAGACTCGACAAGATTTCATACAAGTCATCTGTGAGAAAACAAATTTAGGGAGTCAGATGCAAGCCGTAGACTTCCTACTGCTGATTCAGTCTGTAACAGTTAGAAAATTAACATTATTTCTCAATTATTTCTGTTATATCGAAGAGTCATCCTTGACAGATATTTTTTCAGAAACTTCATAAGCAGAATGCTTAAATAAACAAACAACATGATATCCTGGGTTGGGGCGATCATGCATCATGAATCTTGCTTAAGTTTGGCATGAAAAAAATGTGCAGTCGGTGATTAATTTCCAGTGTATTTTAAGTATTGGGAAATGCAATGTGAGGCTTGCAAAATGTTAACCCAGTGAACAGAGTAGTTTAATAAAGACTAAAAATATTTTTTTTAATTTATGCTTTCTCTGTGGATTCAAAGGAGTGCTTTCATATCACAGCCACATACAAAAACAAGAAAAAAGCATTTAATTGTCTTATAATGCACAATAAATGACTATTAAACATTTGATTTGTTTTAAAGTGTCATTGAAATGAAAGCCGAAAAGAGAGCATGATAAATGTAAATGGCCTGTTAAAATGTACTATTGTATTTGATGGATAAAATAAGATAAAAAGATGATAAAATAAAATAAAATAAGATCCATCTGACCATCACATTCTGTCACTCACCTGTGAGGCCTTCACATTTAGCATGGACCCAGTGGTTACATGTGGAGCACTGCATCATCTGGCTATCATAGTCATTATCTTCATAACACTTGAAGCACATGGTGCAGTAGTTACCTATACACACACATACAACGATATTAACTGATCGTGCAGATGTGTTTGGCACACATGGTGTTTTTCACAGAAAGGATACATATTAAAAGGTCAGCGTGGAAGACAAATTAGGTTTTTTTTGTTTTTGTTTTTTTGTGAAGTTTTATGTGATCATGGCAACTTAGATTATCTTTAAAGCATTTAATTTGCTATTTCAACCTAAACCAATAATCTACATTGTGGAAAATGTTATTTGCTTTATCTGTAATAAAATTAATTATAATTATATATGTATATACACACATATATACATACACACACACACACACATATATATATATATATATATATATATATA